GGAAGGGAGAGAGATAGAGAAAGAGAGAGGGGAAGGGAGAGGGCTAGAAAGAGAGAGAGAGAGATAGAGAGAGAGAGAGAGAGAGAGAGAGAGAGAGAGAGAGAGAGAAAGAGAGAGAGAGAGAGGAGGGAGAGGGATAGACAGAGAGAGAAAGAAAAGAGAGAGAGAATGGGGAAGAGAGAGGGATAGAGAGAGAGAGAGCGAAAGAGGGAGTGGAGGAAGGGAGAGAGATAGAGAGAGAAAGAGAGAGAGAGAGAGAGAGTGGAGGAAGGGAGAGGGATAGAGAGAGAGAGGAGAGGGAGAAAGGAAGAAAGTGGAGGAAGGGAGAGGGAGAGAGAGAGAGACGTAGGTATAGAGACAGAGAGAGAGAGAGAAGGGAAGGGGAGAGAGGAGGGGGAGAGGCACAGTGGGAGAGAAAAAGAGAAGGAACGGAGAGAATGAGTAAGGCAGAGAGGGGAGGGAAGGAGTGAGAGAAGTGTAGAGGGGAGGGAGTGAGAGAGGGACGAGAGAAAAATAAGAGGAGGGAGCGAGAGAGGGTAGGGAAGGAGAGAGGGTGGGGAGGGAGAGAGGGTGGGGAAGGAGAGAGTGAGAGAAGAACGAGAGGAAGATAGAGGAGGGAGGGAGGGAGGGTAAGGTGGGAGAGAGGGAAAGAGAATGGGGATGGAAAGAGGGGAGGGAGGGAGAGAGGGCGGGAGGGAGAGAGAGGGAGGGAGACTGGATAGGAATGTCTACCTTACCTGTGTCTACATAGCCTTCCTTGCGGTTTTCACAGATCATGCCTTCGTACGCGGGAGGGCAGTCGCACGTGTTCACGGTTGAGCCAAAAAAATACCTGCAAACAACCCATACACGCATTATAGCTAATAGCACGAATAGCTAATTAGCATGAATAGCTAATTGGCACGAATAAAGGAACGATGGCGCATGCAGGCGCCGCTCGCTCGCTCGCTCGCTCTTCACTGCTAACGAAGCCTTTGACGAAATGACGAAAATGATTTGACGAAAGGAAAAAAGGCAGGTTTTATTTCATGCGAGTTTTTTTCTCTTGTCTTAACCGCCATTCGTTACGGCGTTTACGTTTCTTGTATCAGATTTGTCGGGCGACCGACAGGGATAATGGTGAGAGCACCGACAGGGACAGACGTAAGAGAGTGCGACAGGGATCATGGTAGGAACGTGTTAAACCCACCCAGTGTTGCATGTAAGCTCGCGTGCACGCCCGTCTTTGTCACTTCCCCTCCTTCCTCCCCCTCTCCTTTATGTCATCTCTTTCCTCTCCCTCTTCTTCCAGCCTCCCCTCTGCCCCTCTCCTTATCTCCCCGTCCCTCCTCTTCCAGCCTCCCCTCTGCCCCTCTCCTTATCTCCCCGTCCCTCCTCTTCCAGCCTCCCCTCTGCCCCTCTGCTTCCCCCCTGCCCCCTCTTCCCCTCTCCCCGTCTCCCCATCTCCCCGTCTTCCCCTGCGACTTTCTCGGCGCACTTATTCCCCCCTGCTACTCTTGGCACGCTGTCTCCCCCATCTCTCTCCGTCGCCGCCTGCTCCCCAGGAAAGCCTGTCCACGTCGCGCCCGCTCCCGCTCGCACTGTCCATTTCGTTTTCTATCTACTCTCTTTCCTCTTCACGATATATTTTAATTTTGCGGCTAATGTGGAAACACTTGCCGTAGTGTGAAGTAAGACGCCAGCACGTCGAATAATACCGTGGGAAAGAAAGGCACGCGAAGATAGAGGGAGAAGGTAATCGAGGTGATCACAGCAGCGCGGGAGAACCACCATTCCTCACTCGCTCCTTTCCATCCCCGACGGCGGCAGGGGTGCTAATGAGAGAGAGAGGAGGAGGCGAAGGTGTCGTGTGATCGCGCAGCCACTGCGCTAGAGACGCCGCCGCTCCTTCTCCGGGGTGCTAATGAGAGAAAAGAGAAAGGGGGAGAAGACTCTAGCCATTGAAACGTAAACCACCCGCTCTGGCCGCCGCCCCCCGGGGGGGGGGGGAGTTGTCAGACACAAAATTTATAGTCTGCAACATTAGTGCTTAACATTAACCTTTTTCTGCGTAGAACCGGATGCTCCTTATACTCAGGGTATAGGTACACTATCGGTAATTTTTACGACTGTTTCTGTCGACGAGTCCACGAAAAAAAGGTTCATGTTAAGAATAATAATTTTGTTTCTGATAACAAGCCGAAGGCTTATATAATGGGCACAACTATAAGGCATATATATCATATAATATATTATATAATATATATACTATATATATATATAAACTCTATACAGGCCGAGTAGCGCAAGGGGGGGGGTTGCGGGGGTTCGAACGAACCCGCGCCCCCCGAGCGCCCTCCCGCCCCCACAAGCCAAAAAATTTTTTTTTTTATTTGGCAAGAATTATCACGTTCAGGTCGCTCCATTTTAGTGTAATAATTGCAAAATCTCCATTCGTGCGGGAGGGTGAACAGTGAACACCCCCCTCCCACACCCTCCCCCCCGGTCGGTCGCTTGGCTCCCTCGCCTGGTCGCTTCGCGCCCGAGCAGGGGCGTGTACAGGGGGGTCCAGGGAGTCCGGACCCCCCCTTGCTCGCGCAAAAAACGCATCTGAGGGGGTGTAATTTTAAAAAATTTCTGGGGGAGGGCCCCAGACCCCCCCTTCGCGTGCTCGCAACTATGGGTTACGGTTAGACCCCCCTGGTACAAAAATCCTGTACACGCCCCTGCCGAGCAAATTGCCAACATTGAAAAACGAACCTCCCCCCCCCAATAGAAAGCTGGCTACGGGCCTGCTCTATACAATCCCATTTAGGCGATGGATGTAATCGCCCGCACCACTTTTAAAATCGGACGCAAGTTTTAAACATTTTCAGGTTTTATTGCAGATTGAGGGAGATACGTGCGCAGTGCATTTGTAGTGGTTCGTCATATCAAAGTGTTGTGGACGCAAATATCAGTTAGTTACATAACGTCCATTTACACACATGAACGATCGTGAATGTCTATATACCTTGCATTCGTAAAATTGCATGCAGAAATGCAACACGCGTGGATATTACCAAGGACCAAGGATATTACCAACGGACGGTTTCCAAATCATTCGTGCCCCGATAGGGGTTTAATGTACTTGATTACCTGCGCGTGCGTAATGTGATACTTACTGCAAACTACTACAGAGAATATTGTTATTATTGTATTATTACTTATGTAAGATAGTATGTCAATTTCTTGTGTTGCGATCACAATAACTGAGCGCGGCTCGCGGTTCCTCACGAGATCAAAATTCGGAATTTAGATTGTCTCTAAACCCTATCGGGGCACGAATGATTTGGAAACCGTCCGTTGCTAAATATTGGCGCCCCGATAGCTTCTCAAGTTGTCTAAACACCTCACACAATAGCGGTAAATCGTGCGAATTCAGCTCGTGCAAGATTACGATTTACAGCAATACGCATGTAAACGAATATATAAAATATATGTAAACGAATATCAGTACCACGAAGGTGAGTGATTAGTGGTCATAATAAGCTGAGGAACGTATACACCTGCTTCTTTATTGGTGGCAAATTTTGATGAGAAAAATCGGTTAAAAATGCGGGATCGCTTCTTTATTGGTGGCAAATTTTGATGAGAAAAATCGGTTAAAAATGCGGGAATCGGGTGTCTCACTCTTGTTTTATTATCTACTCTTGATATTACTGTCCCGTTAAATATTGTGCGTAAATATTTTGTGAGAATGGAGAATCGTCGTTACCTCGTATGATATGATCAATGCAAAGAGATTTATATGCGCCTTTTAACAGCATGCCGACGATGCAAACTGATATTTAGAGTCATGTATGTCATATTAGAGCGGTCATGTATGTGGGTGCGTGTGTGGGTATGTGCATGTAGGTAATTGTGCGGTCATGTATGTGAGTGCGTGTGTGGGTATGGACATGTATGTGGGTTTATGTGCGGGTATGTGCATGTAGGTGATTGTGCGGTCATGTATGTGAGTGCGTGTGCGGGTATGTGCATGTAGGTGATTGTGCGGTCATGTATGTGAGTGCGTGTGCGGGTATGTGCATGTAGGTGATTGTGCGGTCATGTATGTGAGTTTGCAGAAGTTTGCAGAAGTTTGCAGAAGTTAGGCCGTGCACCTTCTTGGCAAACTAGTTTGCTCGAGTTTGCTGAGGTTTGGAATAACTCAGCCAATCAAATGACAGTTTGTAGTCATGTGATCCTGCAGATGGACAAAATGGCAGCCTCCAGTAACGTAACGAAATCAGACAGGAACTGGAGTTTTCAAGAAATTCTTGATTTAATTCAAGAGTATGAAAAATACGAATGTCTTTACAACACCACCCTCAGGGAATACAAAGACAGAGAGAAAAAGAAGGCCGCATTACAGCAGATTGCAGCTGTGTTTGATACAACAGGTAGGCCTGTAGGATACACTATTTTACACATTTCTGAATGCTGGCTCAGTTGCTTGCATTTCCATGTATGCAGCATATGCAGCATTGTGTTGACCTACATAACTATTGTCTATAGATTTTTCATGTAGCTTACAAGGCAGATTTAGTGTACAAGGCAGATAGTGTACACAGTGGGCTCCATCTCTCTGTACTGAGCAGGGGCGGATCCAGGGCTGAAGCTAGACAGTATTTTTTCAGATTTTAAGTGCACATCCCCCAAAAAGGGCACACCACCCCACAGTGAGCGCCGTTAGGCGCGAAAGCACATGGCGGGGGGTCTGGGAGGCTTCCCCCAGGAAATTTAATAATTTCAAGGGTCCCTGGGCACAAAAATAAGCACCATTTGAGCACACACACATTTAGTCAAGCAGCAATAGCTAAAAACCATATGGAATTTTATTTTGCCTGCACTTTGCATACCAGCAATTAATGCAGAATGATTCAAGCACTCCCCTTCTATTTCAGATATTAAAGCTAGTTTTGTTGCCATGTAAAATTTTGATTTTATTCAAGTCCTATCAATGAATCAGAAGAAAAAGAAAACAAATAAAGAATATAGCCAAATTCCATCAAATTGTTTTCTGTATTTTTTATGAAACACCCTGTAGTATAAACATGTATTAAACTATTTAAAAATTGACACATGTCAAATATGATGTCTCTGTATCATAGAACATTGGAATTCAATTAGAACATTGCTTATTGGTTACTGAAAGGGGGGTCTCTATAGTCATATTTCAAACCAATCTAAAGTTCAGACAGCAACATAAAAGAACATCAACACATTTTCTTTCTCTTTCCATGACAGCTGATGAGGTTAGCAGCAAGTTTTCAAAACTACGGATCTATTATAACCGAGAGAGAGCTAAACTTACAGCTACACCCAAGAGTGGCAGTTCTGCAGGTGATGTCAATAAAAAGAGCACCTGGGTCCATTTCGATGCCCTCGAGTTCCTTAGCGACTTCTGCACCCCAAGATCAACAAGATCGAATTTCGCATCCACTGCATCGCAGCCTCAGGTAAGAATTGTTTGTTCAATGCGATGTAGATTATGTTGCTTACTTAGGTAATGGTTCAATCATTTTCCATTGCCAAGGAACTGAACCTTCTTCTGAATTGTAGTATGCACAAAGTTTATCCCTGATTTCTTTGGCATTTCTTCTTGGTCTACCCTGGGGTTGCGTTTCAAGAGGTGTCAATCCCTTGGGTTCATAATCATTTCTCCATGATCCAGGCAAAATGGTTCCAGCCTCTGTGTCTTCGTAGTCGAAACTTCCAGGTGGGGTGTACACTGCTCTTGCCCCAGATTTGGATCGAAGGAAATTGTGTAGCGTGACCGACGCTAGCACAATACTTTCCACCTTCCTTGGCTCAAGAGCAATAGGTTTCATAAAAACCCTGAAACGGTTTGCCAGTATACCAAATCCATTTTCAACAATCCTTCTTGCTCGGCTGAGGCGATAGTTGAATATACGTTGCTCTTTGGTCAGACCACGTTGCCCGTAAGGTTTGAGAATGTAGGTTTTTAGGGGGAATGCATCATCTGCCACCATCGCATATGGGACTGTCACAGCTGTGTCTGGTAGCTGACACTCAGATGTTATCTGTATCTTGTTTGATTCTAGTGCCTCTGAAAGAGTTGAGTTCTTGAAAACACCACCATCAGATATGCGACCATTGCATCCAACATCCACAAATACGAATTTGTAATCGGCATCGACTACAGCCAACAACACAATACTGAATGTCCCTTTGTAATTAAAGTAGTATGAGCCACTGTTAGCTGGAGCCTGAATATGCACATGTTTGCCGTCCATGGCACCAATGCAGTTGACAAAGTTCCACCTTTCGTCAAACTGGTGTGCTATGGCTTCCCACTCTTCATCTGAGTTAGGCATCTGAAAGCAGAAAATATATTGTGAAGTCTTATTATATTAGAATTCTTATATATTTTATATATATATATATATTTTTTTTTTATATATATATATTATATATATTCTTATATATACAGACATGCCAACATTCAATGAAGCAAAGAGTAATGATTCTTAAATTCGCTGGGTTTCGACAAACGCCGCAGGTATCCCCCTCCCATTGAGGGGGGGTTTGGGGGTCCTCCCCCAAGAAAATTTTGAAACTTAGATGCTCTGTGGTGCATTCTGGAGCCATCTGTGGCACTTTCAGCATTGATTTAAATTAGGCAAAATGATGTTTTTCTGCCTGAAAATAGTGGGGAAAATCAAGAATTATTTCAGAGATTTATCAAACGAGAACTAAATTTTATTACAGTAAACTTGTGCATACACCCACAATTATAGGGAACATTAATGGATCAGGATACCCTGATTATGTTATCTTTCTTATTGACTCAATAGTGATTACATAGTGACACAAAATATCTCAGATCTCTGCCCAAAATCGTAATAATTACGCCCAAATCGTAATGGTTGGCATGTCTGTATATAAGAAGTATTATGATATTATTAGTACGTTGATCCTCTTTCAGGATGAAGTTGCTGAAGATGAAGAAACTCCAAACCATTATGACACTGCTATCGATTCTGATGTCACAGATTATCAACCCATCATGGAAATTGAAGAGGACGTAAATGATCTAGTCACCCCGAGAGCAGCTGCCCCTAAAAAATCCACTAAACAGCCCACCGGCAGAAAATGCAGTCGAAAGCAGAAACAGGTGGACGATGAAGATATCGTGCTAAATAAAGCAATGACGGCTCTTGATAAGGCATCACGCAGCCCTGCAATGAATGACTCAACCCCAGATGACATTTTTGGGCAGTATGTTGCCAGTGAGCTAAAGGGTGTCAAGGATGAATACCTGAAGAAAATGATTAAACACAGGATCCACACTGTCTTGTTTGAAACACAGATGCCTCCCAGTTCCCCTTTCCTAAATCAAGGATATCCAGGGGTGAATCAAACACCACCCATTTCCTTTAAGCCTTTTGACAATGGAATGGCTCCCCCTCCTCCATGTAATTCCTCAGGGCAGACTCAGCAGATATCAGCCTCACAGTTTCCCCACAAAAGCTTCACTGCTGTTAGGCCAACCTCAGCCCCACCTTCAACTCTGCTGAGCTCGCCCCCACCCCCCGATTTCAGTGAGTATTCTGATGTCAGTGAGTATGCATCAAATTCATATGAGAACATTTACACTGTGCTCAATTAAGGCACTCTACTGCAGATAAATGTTTATGATTACAGAATTTTTCTCATTAGAGATTGAAAATGTTTTGGCAATGTTATGCCGGTTACTTAGGAGTTAGGAATAATAGCTGCTGATTTCATAAGTCTTACCCTTAGATAGTCATCTTTCATGGCTTCATAGATAGCCTCGCACACCTCTGGCACAATGATGGAGATGGTTGACTTTGGTACCCAGTAGAGGTACTGTAGGCTTGTATATGAATCACCTAGCAAAAACCAAAATACCTTGATGTCATTCAAGTACTGGTATATGTGAATTGATGATGATTGATGACAATTATTTTGTAGCTGAAATTCTTATAAATGGAAAACCAACTCAGTTTTAACTCATAGTTAAAACTTATAGTTAAGTAAACCAATTCCGTTTGAACTCATTGTTTAGTAAATTTCTCATTTATTTAGTAGTGATTTTCAATAAACATGATAAAGGATATCATCGAACATCAAGTGTTGTTTTTTTCATCATGTAAAAAGTGACAATAATTATGAGTTAGTCTTGATTCTGCTCACAATTGACGAGTTACTGGGGAATCAAGCAATTGCCAGTTTTTAGGTGATACCATTGAATTTTATGATTATAATAATTAAATAACAGTGCCACCACAAAGAAACTGGCAATGGCTCCTGGCATAATTTCCAGCCTGCATCACATTCTGATTTTCTTACCTGATGCTAGGTATCTAAGCGTTATGGCTAGTCTTTCTGCTGGAGAAATAGATGCTCGAAGTTGTGTATCTTCCTTCTGTATTAATGGTGCTACCCTGTTCAGAATTTCGTTGAATGAGTCTTCATCCATCCTCAGGAAATTCTTTAGACTTTTTCTGTCTGAGGCCCTCAATTCCTGAAGCAGGCAATGATAGGCCCCAAACTGGTCTCTTTTCATGATCCAGGGTCTGGTCCATAAACGTGGCTTTTTTTGCTCTCGGCGACGACGGCGGCGTCGAATAACAATTGCAATTATTGCTGCTGCGCTACTCACACATACTCTCTTCCTGTGATTCTCCATTGTTATTGACTTATTGGAGGGAAATCGCCTCTTTTTCCCTCCAATTTATGTAAACTTTCAGAAACTTCACAAAATAAAAGTTTTGCAAAGTTTGTTCAAGTTTCATAGTGTAGACAGGCACCACAAACTTCTCCAAACTTTGGCAAACTCGGAGTTTGCTCAAGTTTGCTCGAGTTTGCAAACTAAAGTTTGCTAGTGTAGACAGGGCTTGAGATTGCTCATGCATATAAAAATAATGACCTAAACATTGAATGAGGCTGTCTCAGTATATAGTATTGACCTGTGCATTGCCTGCAATTTGGAGATCAGAGAGATGCTACATATCTCAGTGGTCTGCTTATAAGGTCAAGCTAACTTAACACTTTGACTGCTGGGCTTTTTTTATTCAGTGACCGCTGTTACGACACGGGTTCACGCTGTATGTAAAGCACCCACCCGCGCCATTACTGTGCCAACGCGTCCGCACCCAAAGCATGGTCACGCGAACAAATCGAATACAAAAACAGATATATATAACTATCACAAACAAATCTATTGCCAATTACAGTAATTCCGTGATACATTAACAGAAATCATATACGATAGGTGGCCACCTTCACAAATGAATTATAATCTTGCCAGCATACTTACTATCAGCTTCCGCCGCCTTGCCTCGCTTCCTGTCGGCCTGTCCTCTTTCTTATTCCTCCCTACGCCTGCGCCATTACCTCGCCACACTGGTTGTGGCCGCGTTGACACCTCGTGCACATATTACTCAGTTCGTTGACATCCCGTGCACATCTTACTGTTATCATACTGTTATCGTACTGTATCTCACGGTGCACATCACACGACAGTTTTACACATGCACTGTTGCCACACTAGCACTGCGCTATGTCTCTCTCCGCTTTTGGCCTGCACTGCTGCCACGCTAACACTGCGTGTAAATCTCTCTTTGTTTTCGGCCTGCACCGCTGTCACGCTGGCACCGCGTGTAAATCTCTCTTCGTTTCTGACACACGTCCACACTCAGCCGGTGTCACTTGCAGGAGAGCGCACAGCTCGTTCCCTGAACTTTTATGATCTCGCATGCCCCCTGTGCTGAGGTTTTTTTGTGAAAATTACACTGTGAGTGTTACTTATGACAAACAAAGACAAATAAAATTAAATGAATTTAACTATCTTTTACCTCAAAATTCAAAAGTCTATAGCCAGTAATACTTTTTAGTATGGTATGCTTCAAAGCAAGTTGTTTGGTGGAGATGTATCCTGCATTGTTGACAGTAAAACCTTGTTTCACTACGACTTCTTTGTTTTGAACACACGACAGACTTGTTGGGTATTCCTTTCCATGGCTTGGTGGGATGTGTGTCAGAGAATGCCTAGAATTTCCACCCAGAAGTCGAGTAAGAGGGTCCTGCTTTGGAACTCGGCCAAATACTTCATTCTGCGGTTCATCAGACGACGAGGAAGAGGAGTCAGAGTCGGTATTCTGAACACGGCCCAACTCAACCATGGAACCAATCATCTTTTATAGAACCACCGTTTCTTATATAGAATGAATGCATTTAGCATGCCAACATGCATTAGGTGTAGAGCTAACTTTTTTGTCCATTTAGTAGTCTTTCTGGTGCAAAGATAGTATTTTCCCATCTGGTCAAGGTGATCTACCCCTGACATGTAACGGTTGTACTCAAGTATACATTTTTGTTTCATAATAGGCTGCTTTGTAGTTGTGTGCTCGTGAAGTCTAACTGTACTTCCAGACTGGCAATTTGCTGTTGCAGAGACTGGCTACGTTGTTCTTCCACCTACAGTGAGAGAAAGAAAAACTAAATGTTTTACTCCATTTCCATGTTTAGTTTGTGGCCGTGGTCAGGCCTGTAGCCAGCGAGTTTTGCAGGGGGATCGAATTAGGTAACACCCAGAACTCGAGGGCGGAGCCCGAGCACGGCGGGGGTATGGGGGGCCCTCCCCCAGAAAATTTTGAAAAAATGGACCCCTTTAGCGTCATTCTGACGTATTTTCTGCTGCGTTTGAATACATTTTCAAACCAGTTTTTTTGTAAAATAATGTTTATGCATTACTGGAAACAAAGATGGTTTGGAACATACACATACGATGTGTAAACCGTAAACAGTAAAATGCCGGCTATACATAACATTGTCACCTTGTGTAGTTAATAAGTACATTACCTTATAGCCAAACGCGTATTAGTTTGTCCAATGTCACTGCTGGTTACTAAGAAATGTTTAATTGAAATCCGCAGTCCAAGAAATGTTTACAGTTTACAGTTTCACTTTCAAACCGCTGCCAGCGAAGCGGGTGTGATACAGATTATACATGCTCGGCCGTATGCAATGCTATCATCAGTGATTTCGTAAACACGGACGCTCGTGATAAGGAACTTTTTGTCAGGGCTGTCCATGTGCGTCCGTGATTAGTACGTGTGTTTTACTCTGTTTCTATGTTTAGTTCGTGGCCGTGGTCAGTCCCGTAACCAGCTAGTTTTGCGGGGGGGATCGAATTAGGTAACACCCGGAACTCGAGGGAGGAGCCCGAGCACGGCGGGGGGTATGGGGGCCCTCCCCCAGAAAATTTTGAAAAAAGGGACCCCTTTAGCGTCATTCTGACGTATTTTCTGCTGCGGATGGATACATTTTCAAACCAGTTTTTTTTGTAAAATAATGTTTATGTATTACCGGACACAAAGATGGTTTGGAACATACACATACGATGTGTAAACCGTAAACAGTAAAATGCCGGCTATACATAACATTGCATACATAATGAAGAATGCATGGATAAGTAGATGACCCTTTTTCAGATATGATCACTGTGTGATATACAACAACAATACAATAATAATACAGTATTGCAATAATACCGAATCCAATTTCAATTTTCTGGTGTTCTTTTGTGCGAAGATGTTAACCACCTCGAGATCTATCGGATCATTGTAATGGACAGTCATTAGCGCCAAATTCGAGAGGCGTTCCTGCCCCATTGATGCACGTAAGTATGTGTGTAAGCGGCGTATCGTGCTGAAACTTCGCTCACACTCTCATGAAGTCACAGGCAACGTTCATCCTATCTTCAGTAGAACGAAGATGTCGGGAAACATCGTTTCATCACAGATTTTTCAGAGCCTGTGCAAGGGAGATCGGTTTGTCTGCCACATTAGTAAACTTATGCTTCCAGCGATCCAGTTCAGTGGCCACAAGATGAGGCGTCGGCAAATCGTCTTCGTACATGTCCACAACCTCCGAGATGTCGATGTTTTCCACCAGTAGAGTAGGAACGAGACCCAGCAATTTACTGGCGGTTGTCTGCAGCCCGGAAAACTGAGCCTCAAGTTTCGTGACAATATGGTCTGTGAACGGAATCAACAGGTTTTGCTTGTAGTATTCATCCACGCTCTCAGCTGGTGTATTGCCTCTGTTTATTTGCCACGCATTGATGCGTGGCATGGAGGGTACCACATCCACCTTTCCTGCCATTTGCATGGACGTCGTGAACATGTCTTTCATAGCATCGTCCACAGTGTTTCTCCGCATCCGAAAATAATCTGTAAACTCTTGGACCATTTCAAATTCATGGGCTTTGAAGATGTCCAACGCCGATTTCTGCAACTTCACTGTGATGACTTCCAGATGCGCGAGGGAATAGTAGACAACGTTGAACGTCATTATGAACCCGAACGAGGTTATGGATGCCAGGATGGACACGGCGTCTTGTTTTGACTTAGCATCCCATGCTGCTCTGAATAGCAGAATATCGTCGTCCAGAATATCGGAATGTAATCTGTGCGCGATCTTTTCAAATGCCGTCACTAGATGCGGGTACGAGTCATTGACGTGCGTATATGCTTCTTGACGCTCTGCCCAGCGGGTCTTACATAAGTTTAGTAGCGGCTTCCGCTTACTGCCAGGAGCATTTTTTGTTATGATGTGCTCCAACAAACCTTGTCTCTTAGGACTGTACTTAAAATACAGGCACACGGCCTTGAGTTTGTCTATCATATTGCGCACGTCCGTATTGGAACAGGCATGTCCAATTACCAAGTTCAGGCAGTGACCATTGCAGTGCATGTACACTGCCTTGGGGGCGTCATCACGGATTAACTTTTGTACGCCGATACGTTCACTCGACATTGCAGCCGCTCCGTCATAGCCCTGACCTCGCATGTTGCTGATGTCGAGTCCTATCTCCGCGAGAACAGATTTCATTTCTTGGGCAATGTGATAGCCAGTGGTTCTGTGTAGTCCAGAGAACCTCACAAATTCCTCTTTTATATCCTTACATTTGTCCACAAACCGGATACAGAGCGACAGTTGTTCTTTGTTATGCGAGGTGGTCTCGTCAGCTAACACACTATAGTAAACTGCCGAATTTACCTCACTGACTATCTGCACGAGGATCATGTCCTTGTCCATTATATTTATCACCTCATTTTGAATTTTCGTGGACACATATGTTGCATTCTTGAGGATTGGTGAATCCAAGTGTGCTCTCAATATTGGATTGTGGTTTTCATCAGTTTCATGAGGGCAAAGAAATTGCTGGGATTTCCGCCGCTCTTGAGGTATTCCTTGTTCCTGCGTAACGCGATGCATTGTCTGCTGCATTACAGCACAGCTTCGGTGACACATTTCACAATGTCTGTTTCTGCCAATGTTTTCTTTGACACGAGCGTCGCTGAGTGCTGGAATTGTTGATTGGAGGGTTTCGATGCTGTGGATCAGACCGTCCGCAACTTGCATGGCACGAGTATGGTACAGGCATTCCGCATGCGGGTTGATTGTGTCCTTCTTTTTACTCCATTTTCGGAACGGCTTATTCACTAGCAGACCAAGGTGTTCCCTCTTCTCCTCCACAAACAGGGCACATGGGAGACAGAATGCGCCGTCGGTTGCTTTAGAATAGACAATCCAAGAAAAGTCATCGATCCACTGGTTATTAAATCTTCTGTTGCATACGGCGATATACCGCGACGGAAACACGTAGTCATGTGGCATGCGCGCATGGTGCTTTAGCAGGTGGTATTTTTGTTTGCGGGTTAGATTGCGAATGTTTTTGAGAAAAGTTTGTACATTTTCATGAGGTATGTTATCATAGTTTTCCGACGCGGGGTACATACTACCAACGTCCGTTATCAATTCGCCACTTTCCTCGACGTCGTTCGCCGGATGGGTATAATGAGCGGTGGAAGCAGGTGGC